CCTCTACACCTATTGGCTGAGGCTTTTTATCATGAATGGATGTTGTACCTTTTCATATGGTTTTTATTATTTTTAAATTGTTTAATGTTTACTTATTTTTGAGAGCACATGCACAAATGGGAGGAGCAGAGTGAAGTGGCGGCGGGGGGGGGGGGGCCCGGTGGCGGGCAGAGGATTTGAAGTGGGGTCTGTGCTGACAGCAGAGAGCCTGATGCAGAGCTCAAACTCACAAACCTTGAGATCATGACCTGAGCTGAAGTCAGATGCTTAACCAACTGAGCCACCCAGGCACCACATTCATATGGTTTTTAATCCCTTCTCTTGATGATGTGATATATCATGTTAATTGCTTTACAAATAACAAACCACTCTTGCATCCCAAGAATAAATCCCACTTGACTGTGCTGAATGATTTTTCTAATGTATTATTGAATTTGGTTTGCTAATCATTTGTTGAGAATTTTTGCATCTATATTCATCAGAGATATTTCTTTTTTTGTAGTACCTGTATCTGGGTTTAATATCAAGGTAATGCTGGCCTCATGGAATCTGGAAGCTTTCTTCCTCTTCTATTTTTTCAAACAGTTTGAGAAGAATAGGTTTTAGCTTTTCTTTAAATGTTTGGAAGAATTCACTTGTGAAGCCACCTGGTCTTGGACTTCTGCTAGGAGCTTTTTGATTACTTATTCAAATTCATTGCTACTATAATTACTGTATTAAAATATTCTATTTCTTCCTGATTCAATTTTGGGAAGTTATGTATCTAGGGATTTAACCATTTCTTCCAGGTTGTCCAGTTTGTTGGAATGTAATTTTTCATAATATTCTTTTATAATCCTTTGTATTTCTGCAGTATTGGTTATTTCTTCTCTTTCATTTCTATTTGAGTCTCTTTTTTTATAATTTTGAGTTTTATCAATTTTATTGATCTTTTCAAAGAACCACCTCTTGGTTTCACTGATCTGTTCTAATGTGGTTTTGTTTTCGTTTTTCTAGGATTCTATTTCATTTATTTCTGCTCTAATCTTTATTATTTCCTTCCTTCTACTGGATTTGGGCTTTGTTTGTTCTCCATTTGTTCTTCTTTAGCTCCTTTAGGTTTATTCTGTGAAATTTTTCTGGCTTCTTGAAGTAGGCCTGTATTGCTATATACCTCCCTCTTAGAACAGTTTTTGCTGCATCCCAAAGATTTTGAACCATTGTGTTTTCATCTTCATTTTCTCCATGTATTTTTTGATTTCCTTCCTAATTTCTTGGTTGACCCATCCATTGTTTTTAGCATGTTTTATATATATGTTATATACCTCCATGTATTTGTGTTCCTTCTAGATTTGTGTTCCTTCTAGATTTGTTCCTTCTAGATTTTGTGATTTATAGTGTTATAGTGTTGTGGTCATAGTATGATTTCAATCTTTTTTTTTTAACTTGTTGAGACTTGTATTGCCTCCTAATATGTGTCTACTCTGGAGAATATTCCATATGCACTTCAAAAGAATGGGTACTCTGCTGTTTTTTGGATGGAATGGTTTGAATATATCTTTAGATATATCTGGTCCTATGTGTCATTCAAAGCCACTGTTTCCTTGTTGATTTCTATCAGGATCTATCAATCTAATGATGTAAACGGGGTGTTAAAGTACCCTCCTACTACTGCATTACTGCCAGTTTCTTCTTTTATGTCTATTAGTAGTTTCCTTCTATATTTAGGTGCTTCCATGTTAGGTGCATAATATTTACAACTGCTATATTCTCTTGTTGGGTTGTTCCCTATATCATTATGTAGTAGTATTCTACTTTGTCTCCTCTTACAGCCTTTGTTTTAACATCTATTTTGTCCAATATAAGTACTGCTATGCCAAGCTTTCTTTCACTTCCATGTGCATGATAAATGTTTTTTTCTATCTTTTCACTTTCAATCTGCATGTGCCCTTAGGTCTGTAATGAATCCTTTGTAGACCATATAGATGGGTCTTACTTTTTTATCCATTCCATCACCCTATGTCTTTTGATTGGAGCATTTAGTTCCTTCACATTTAAAGTAATTATTGAGACGTATGTATTTATTGCCATTTTGTCACTTATTTTACAGTTGTTTTTGTATTTCTTATCTGTTCCTTTTTTTCTTCCTTTCTTCTCTCATGTTTGATGGCTTTCTTTAGTAATATGCTTGGACTCCTTTCATTTTCTGCATATTGTATTACCAGTTTTTGATCTGTGGTTACCATCTGATTCACATATAACACCTTATTCATACAGCAGTCTATCTTAAGTTGATGGTTGCCTATGTTTGAACCCATTCAAAAACCACTAAATTTTTACTCCCCCCACTCACATTTTAGGTATATGGTGTCATACTTTACATCCTTTTACTTGTGAATCCCTTGACTGATTTTTATAGATATGCTTGATTTTACTGCTTTTCTGCTTGCAACCACCATACTGAATTTATAAGTGATTAATCTACTTTTATGTTTATATGTACCTGTGAATTTTTTTTTTCCTTTGCTACAGTCTTTACTCCTGCTTAAGGTCTTTCCTTTCCACTCAAAGAATCCCCTTTAATATTTCTTTTTTTTAAATTATTTTTTAAAGTCATTATTTTAATTTATTTTTACATTTATTTATTTTTTTGAGAGACATAGAGCACAAGTTGGGGAGGGGCAGAGAGAGAAGGAGACACAGAATCCGAAGCAGGCTCCAAGCTGTCAGCACAGAGCCCAACGTGGGGCTTGAACTCACAAACTGTGAGATCATGACCTGAGCCAAAGTCAGACGCTTAACCGACTGAGCCACCCAGGCACCCCCCCTTTAATATTTCTTGTAGGACCAGTTTTAGTGGAGATGAATTCCTTTTACTTTTGTTTGTCTGGGTAACTCTTTATCTATTCTTCTATTCTGAATGATAATTGCGCCAGGTAGAGTATTCTTGGTTGCATGTTTTCTCCTTTCAGCACTTTGAATATATCATGCCATTCCCTTCTGGACACCTTGAAAAAATCATTGAAAAATTTCCACTGAAAAGTTAGCTGATCTCCTCATGAGGTTTCACTTGTAAGTGCCCGATTTTCTCTTGCTGCTCTTAAAATTCCTTTTACCACTACATTTTACCATTTTAATTATTATATGTCTTGGTATAGATCTCCTCGGGTTAATTATTTTGGGGGGGTTCTCTGTACCTCCTGGATCTGGATGTCTGTTTCCTTCCCCAGATTAGGAAAGTCTGCATCTATTCTTTCTTCAAATAAACTTTCTTTCCCCTTTTTTCTCTCTTCTCCTTCTGGATCCCTATAATGTGAATATTATTATTACACCTGATGGGTCAGTGAGTTCCCTTAACCTATTCTCATGTTTTATTATTCTTTTTTTCTTTTGCCTGTTCCATTTGGTTGCTTTCCATTACTCTGTGTTCCAGCTCACTGATCCATTCTTCTGGGTTCTCTGGTCTATGATTTATTATATCTAGTATATTTTTTAAATTTCAGTTCTTGAGCTCGTCATCCCTTATTGCTTCGTTTTTATGTTTTCTCTTTCTTGAGGTTCTCCCCTCTTTTCTAAAGTCCTATATCTTTATGACTATTACTCTGAATTATCTATCTGGCACATTACTTATCTCTATTTCACTTAGATGTCTTGTGATTTTGTCTTGTTCTTTCATCTGAAAGATATTCCTCTGTCCTCTCATTTTGTCTCTCTGTGACTCTTTCTATATTAGGAAAGTCGGTTACATCTCTTCTCTTGAAAGTAGTGACCTTATGAAGAAGAGGTCCTATGGTGCCCTGTAGTCCACTGTTTACCAGAACCTGGCACTACAGGGGTGTCTCCTATGTGTGTTGTGTGTGCCCTACTGCTGTCGTTCACATGTGTTTACCTTCAGTCATCATCTGCAATGGCTCTCTTTGCCTATTGTGGGTAGGGCTTGGTTCCTGTGCTGTTAAGTAGTGAGTGTGGGGCCAACTTGGGCTTGAGCTGGGTCAAATGCCTGCTCTTGGCTCATTTGCCAACACTGTGGTTGCACTGAACTTCAGTGTACTCTCCCTATATTGTACCCAAAGAGATTTTCATTGGTGAGTGGGGCCTGCAGTCAGACAAAATGTCTGCCCCCAATCTTTCTGTTGGGGTTGCAGTGACCCCAAACTGCCAGTCTCTATGTGCTATTCCTGTGAGGTTTTTGCTGATGGCAGGTCAGTCAATCAGATCAGATGTCTGCCCCCAACCCACTGCTGGGGCTGCAGTCAAACTGGTGTATGTGGCTACATTCCCCTCCGCCCAGGACACCAGTTATTCTGGAGTGGTGTTGGCCACTGCCTGGGCTGCTTGAACAATGCCATACTTGTGGCACCACTTTGGATGGACTCTGCTGAGTGAAGCAGATTGGACAGGACAATCTACAGAATGCAGGAGTGGGGTACATGGTGTTAGCAAGGTTTTACACTATTCTGTATCTGGGAAGAGACCTTGAAAAGTGACTCCTGCTGAGTAGGGAAGGTTTGATGGGGTGGAATATGCCTGAGTGGGGTTCACTGTTAGCAAGCTAGATGGAGTGTCATGCAGGTATCCCTCTACATAGGCTGGGGGGACCAGCAAACGAAAGGGGACCCACCAGCTCCCCTGCTCTTGGAGAAGTCTCCCAAAGATCCCTGCCCCTCCTGTACATGCGAAAGACAATCAAATAAATTACCTTCCTGTATACTCTAGATGCCTCTCAAACTGTTGCTTCAATGTTGTGTCTTGGCAAGTTTGTTATGCTGTCTTTTTAAGAGCAGAGACTTGCTCTCCCCGGTATCTCACCGCTGCGTCAGTGCAGTTAGGCATCAGCAACTTAATAAGAGGAGAGAGAGGGCCCCTGCTCTTGGGCACCCGCAGGAACTTACTCCAGCTCCAGACACACCATAAACACTTTCATCTAACGGAAGATAAGCTGTGAAATCGGATTTCTGAACCACAAGACACTTGTGTAAAAACTGCATTCCATGCCAGGCCTGAAGTGTTCCAAAGCTCAGTTCGCTATCAGCATCCCAGGTGGTGCAATTAATAAAGAGCTAGCGTGGGGCCACTGGCACAAACAAGGCAGCTCCTTAGAACCTGAACTTCCTATTTGTTCCATTCCTTGGGTAGATAACGCCTGTTAATTACTCTGGAGGTTTTGTTAGAACATTCTATCTGGTCTCGCTGGATCAAGCTCTCCTCTCCAGATCGCCCTATATGGGGAACTGAAAATAATCCTCGTTTCAATAAAATTATTTTGGCGAGCAACAGAGGGAAGATGGCGGCGTAGGAGGACGCTGGGCTCACAGCGCGTCCTGCTGATCACTTAGATTCCACCTACACCTGCCTAAATAACCCAGAAAAACGCCAGAGGATTAGCAGAACGGAGTCTCCTGAGCCAAGCACAGATGAGAGGCCCACAGAAGAGGGTAGGAAGGATGGCAAGGCGGTGCGTGCTCCACGGACTGGCGGGAGGGAGCCGGGGCGGAAGGGTGGCTCGCTGGCCAGGCAGAACCCCCGAGTCTGGCTGGCAAAAGCGGAGGGGCCTGATGGACTGTGTTCCGACAGCAAGCGCAACTTAGCGTCTGGGAGGTCATAAGTAAACAGCTCTGCTCAGAAAGCGGGAAGGCTGGAGGACAAAGGGAGGGAGAGCTGCTGAGCCCCCGGATGAGAGAGCTCAGTTTGGTGGGGAACAAAGGTGCTAGCCAGCGCCATCTCCCCCGCCCATCCTCCAGCCAAAATCCCAAAGGGAACCAGTTCCTACCAGGGAACTTGCTCGCTCTGTGCAAACACCCAATTCTGTGCTTCTGCGGAGCCAAACCTCCGGGAGCGGATCTGACTCCCTCCCGCTGCCACAGGGCCCCTCCTGAAGTGGATTACCTAAGGAGAAGCTAGCTAAGCCTGCCCCTCCTGCCCCCGTGCACCTTGCCTACCCACCCCAGCTAATACTCCAGATCCCCAGCATCACGAGCCTGGCAATGTGCAAGTAGCCCAGACGGGCCATGCCACCCCACAGTAAATCCCGCCCCTAGAAGAGGGGAAGAGAAGGCACGCACCAGTCTGACTGTGGCCCCAGCAGTGGGCTGGGGGCAGACATCAGGTCGGACTGCGGCCCCGCCCACCAACTCCAGTTATACACCACAGCACAGGGGAAGTGCCCTTCAGGTCCTCACCACTCCAGGGACTATCCAAAATGACCAAGCGGAAGAATTCCCCTCAGAAGAATTCCCCTCAGAAGAATCTCCAGGAAATAACAACAGCTAATGAACTAATCAAAAAGGATTTAAATAATATAACAGAAAGTGAATTTAGAATAATAGTCATAAAATTAATCGCTGGGCTTGAAAACAGTATAGAGGACAGCAGAGAATCTCTTGCTACAGAGATCAAGGGACTAAGGAACAGCCACGAGGAGCTGAAAAGCGCTTTAAACGAAATGCAAAACAAAATGGAAAGGACAGCTCGGATTGAAGAGGCAGAGGAGAGAATAGGTGAACTAGAAGATAAAGTTATGGAAAAAGAGGAAGCTGAGAAAAAGAGAGATAAAAAAGCCCAGGAGTATGAGGGGAAAATTAAGAGAACTAAGTGATACACTAAAGAGATAATATACGCATAATTGGTATCCCAGAGGAGGAAGAGAGAGGGAAAGGTGCTGAAGGGGTACTTGAAGAAATTATAGCTGAGAACTTCCCTGAAGTGGGGAAGGAAAAAGGCATTGAAATCCAAGAGGCACAGAGAACTCCCTTCAGACGTAACTTGAATCGATCTTCTGTACGACATATCATAGTGAAACTGGCAAAATACAAGGATAAAGAGAAAATTCTGAAAGCAGCAAGGGATAAACGTGCCCTCACATATGAAGGGAGACCTATAAGACTCGTGACTGATCTCTCTTTTGAAACTTGGCAGGCCAGAAAGAACTGGCACGAGATCTTCAGTGTGCTAAACAGAAAAAATACGCAACCGAGAATCCTTTATCCAGCAAGTCTGTCATTTACAACAGAAGGAGAGATAAAGGTCTTCCCAAACAAACAAAAACTGAAGGAATTTGTCACCACTAAACCAGCCCTACAAGAGATCCTAAGGGGAACCCTGTGAGACAAAGTACCAGGACATCACTACAAGCATGAAACATACAGACATCACAATGATTCTAAACCCGTATCTTTCTATAATAACACTGAATGTAAATGGATTAAATGCGCCAACCAAAAGACATAGGGTATCAGAATGGATAAACAAACAAGACAAGACCCATATATTTGCTGTCTACAAGAGACTCATTTTAGACCTGAGGACACCTTTAGATTGAGAGTGAGAAGATGGAGAACTATTTATCACGCTACTGGAAGCCAAAAGAAAGCTGGAGTAGCCATACTTATATCAGACAAACTAGACTTTAAATTAAAGGCTGTAACAAGAGATGAAGAAGGGCATTATATACTCATTACAGGGTCTTTCCATCAGGAAGAGCTAACAATTATAAATGTCTATGCGCCGAATGCGGGAGCCCCCAAATATATAAAACAACTACTCATAAGCAACCTTATTGATAATAATGTGGTAATTGCAGGGGACTTTAACACCCCACTTACAGAAATGGATAGATCATCTAGACACTCGGTCAATAAAGAAACAAGGGCCCTGAATGATACATTGAAACAGATGGACTTCACAGATCTATTTAGAACTCTGCATCCCAAAGCAACAGAATATACTTTCTTCTCGAGTGCACATGGAACATTCTCCAAGATAGATCACATTCTGGGTCACAAAACAGCCCATCATAAGTTTACAAGAATTGAAATTATACCATGCATACTTTCAGACCATAATGCTATGAAGCTTGAAATCAACCACAGGAAAAAGTCTGGAAAACC